TATATATATATATACTATATTTGTAATCATTTGAACTGCGCGCCGAATTGGTTTTCCACTTATAAACGCAATTAAATTACTTAATAATTAATAATATCACAAATTAAATTAAATGGACAAGCAAATTTTTAATAATTTGATACTCAATCCGATATCATTAAAAAGATGTCCTGAAAAACTGTAAATAAATTTATTGCGAAAAATATTATTGGGTTGTCTGGAAAGTTCGTACCAATGTTGAAGGAAAATTGAAACGCAGAAGATTTAAATTTTAGTATACATTTATTAAATTATAATTAGTTGGCACGAACTTTCTGAACAATCCAATATCTTGACCAGGAAACGAAGTAATAGCTTCTTGCCTTGATGAAGTGAACGACAAGATTTACGAAACGTTGATTTTAGCAATAAATGAAAACGCGGCGATAATCTTCTGGTATTTTTAAAATTTTATTATGTTGTGTTATAGTTATATGTGTTATAGTTATATGTGTTTAAGAAAAAAGTAATTATTAGCGTCGCAATAAAAAATATTTAGAAAGTTTATAAATCGAGCACCGAACATTTGCACTGTGAAGAGTTTACAAAGTTGTTTACAAAATTATGTGTGTGTATGGAAGATAAACTACTAGATATTATTTTAATAACAAACGGTGATAACCTCAAACTTTTTGGTATCTTTGAAGATAATATCCGTGAAAGTCTAAAAAGTGTTATGTATTGAAAGTCTAAAAGCATTTTCAATTGTTCATTTGCAAAATTTTTACACACATCGAATAGAAACAAAAGCGTCTAATGCTATCAGCTATCAAGTGATAGTTGTAAAATTATTTTTAAAATTTAAAATTTCATTTATCAGAATATCTTTCTGTCCCAAATGTTACTATGCAGCTATGAAATACATATTATAAATACATTTTATAACATATTATAAAAAAAAAACAGAAATTATGCAATGACCTAATACAATACATATATAAATAATATATATATAAATAATATTCTAGAGATATAAATAATAATAAAAATCATTTATATTCAAGATTAATGAATTAATTTAACGCCTGTTGTTTACAAATTTTGTTTTTAATGGCACCAATAATAAATGTAAATATAAATAAAATATTATTTACAAATTTTCTATTGTATTATATAGAGTTAAAAATTATTTAGCATTTATATGACAGACATTACACCTATACTGAGTAAAAAAGTTTTAGTGAACATAGATCGAAAATTCAACCATTATTGAGATATAAGCATTTTTTGCATCATAAATGATTTTCTGACTTCTATGCAAGATTGAAAAAGTTACTTTACAAGTTACTTATAAGTTATTTTTTAGGTTACATTATATATGTATTTGTTACAAAAATTGAGTATAAACAGTAATACAAAATTGGAGCAAATGATAAAATAAAATATTCAAACTTACTTATTGTATTCAATTTACAGTAACAAAAAGTAACTTGTAATTAAGTAACTTTTTCAATTCTGCTTTTACATATTACATGCGATGTTTACTGCATATTTTAAACTTATTATATTTAACTTCCATACATCATTCGGAGAGACGCTATTCGCGCTATTTAGCGCTACAAACTGTTCGCGGAGCTGCAATAGCGTTAATAAATACAACGCTGTTCGTTCCGAGATAGTATATTGGTTAGCGTTAGCGTTTACAGATCCGTAAACAACCCTAGCGTAGCGTTAGTAGCATTTAACATTGGTCAAAGTTAGATTAATGTTTGAAGGGATTCTGTTCTCGAGTGGAGAGTGAAAACCAAACTTTTTTCTCTTAGAATTTCGTAAAGTAAACATATGTAATGTATGAATTTCTAATTTTATCATAATGAATGTAATCTCAAGTTTAATCTCTGATTGCTTGCCACTAGATTGGAGTGAACGTAATTCTTGTGTATCTTTAACTTTTCAAAGTTTCTGTGAAGTTCAACTTGTGTATTTGATTTCATTATAAATGTGAAAGTCAGAGGTATCTTGTTACTGACAATTTTTAATTCCCGTTTACTATTGCGGAAAAAAGTTACTATTGCGGTATATAACACGGCAGGGTATTCCTTAAGCAGATGCTAAGGTCTTTATTAGATATGCTTCTTCTTCTTGAAATCGACAATGATGGGAAGGATACTCAAGGGTCCTTCCTTTTATCTAATTAATTTACTTAGTGTAATTATTAATTTTTTAATCTAGTTTACATTGTTCACTTCGGCCTAGCGACAAGCTATCATAGAGATTGCAATTGAGATTGCGTTCTATTACTTACTACAAGAAAATAAAAAATTTACGTTACAAACATTTTACAAAACCTTAAAAATTTTAATTATAAAGTTTGGTTGGTGATAGAAAACAGAATTCCCTACATTAACTTAACATCGACGAATATATATCTCTCTGGTTAAACGCTACCAACGCTACGCTAGGATCGTTCATGGAGTTTGCTAACGCTATCGTGCTATTGGCTCTAAAAACAGCGTTGGTAGTATTTGCATCCGCATAGCGCGAATAGTGTTTTATAAGATTTCACCGCCATCAGTTGTCATCAACTGGCGATTACGGATCTATTTGATGACTACACAGTTATAACTGATTGCTGATGAAATCTTCTGTTACGATGTATGTATGGAAATTGAAGAAGGACAGAATGCATGGCAGTTTATAAACACTGAGGTAAACGTTGCATACGTATAAGAAGCCCGTAAGTTACAATATTTTGATTAACATATAAAAACGTTTGTATTTTAGTTTTTGAGCTTTAAGATTTTTTTCCTTATTGTTAATATATGCTATTATTAGATATGTGTTTAGCAATAAACTGAAAAATAAAGTTATATAATCATTTAATTATACAACACAATTACAAAATATATACACATAATCATATAACAATATAAAGTTTAATAAAATATATAATAAACATATATTTTCAATCGATATTAGATCTTATTTAAAAAAATTATTTTTTAGGCAATCATGACCGTAATAAAATATATCTTGCTCTTAACAGAGATTTTATTGCTTATACTGAAATTTTTATATTATATTTTCCACGATATATACACATTAATAAGACCAATAAAGAAAAAGAGCGTAGCTAATGAAATCGTTTTGGTGCGTATAAAAATTTTAATATATACACAGTTTATAAAAAAAAATATGTATATTCTATGTGATTTACCTAAGCTTTGTAATTTTTTTCTAATTCTTTCTGAAATTTTTTCCATAATTGAATTTCAACAAATTAATATTTTCTTTAACAAATGTTTTCACATTTATCTTATCTATCTTTTTTCATTACTATAAATAATAAATATTATTTCAAAAAATGTCATGTAAACATAGATAGAAAGATTTGTATTCTAGACTTTAAACTGAGACACTCTATTTAATACATTTGTTTTCATTTACATTTGTTTAATAAAATACGTATTTTATTAAACAAAAGTTCATTATTTCATTTTAAAGCAAGATGAAAATTTGAAATTATGCTATTTTAAACGAAAAGTTAATATGTCATAATTATAATTTAAATTGTATTTATATATTATCATAGATAACGGGCGCAGGTCATGGTATCGGAAAGGAATTAGCGATTGGTTATGCTTCGTTAGGAGCAACAGTAGTATGTTGGGATATCAATGAAGAAAATAACAATGAAACAATGAACGATATTAAAAAAAAAGGAAATGACTCTGTGTATGCGTATCGGTAAATTTATATAACAATGCTTCGTGGAATACAACCTAGATATAATATACAACCTAGATATAATGTGAATGCCTATTAAATTATCAATTCTAATTAGAATCTGTGTGTTTTACAGATGTAATGTAGCAGATGAAAAAGAAGTTTTCAGAATAGCCAAAAAAGTAAAAGAAGAAGTAGGTGACGTAACTATCTTAATTAACAATGCCGGCATAGTGTTTATGAAATCTTTTCTGAATCAAAGTCCTGATGAAATTACACATGGCATAAACGTCAACGTGATAGCGCATTATTGGGTAAATAATATATCAAGAGAAAAGACATAAAAATTGCAAGTTACAAGACATAAGAAGCCGTTAATATAATTGATTTTTGGAAACGGATATATTGCATCAGCTTGCTATATTTGTAAATAAAATGAATTAAATGATTTAGATCAGTATATGATTAATGGTCATAGCACAGACTTTCTCTTGCATAACGCACAGTGCATAAGGGAACTAATCGAAATTCTTTTTTTCCATGAAATTGGAGAAAAGGAAAGATTCTGATTAGTTGATTCGCTTATACACTATGCGTTATGCAAAAGTCTGTGCTGCGGTTATGAGCTTCCGAAAATTATTATTTATAAAGTAATATTACTTTTAGACATTGAAAGCATTCTTACCTAGTATGATCGAAAAGAATCACGGTCATATTGTGTCGGTTTCATCTATAGCAGCATTTTTTAGTGTACATTATGGGACAGTTTACTGCCCTACAAAATCCGCAGTTCCAGGTAATTCATTCCTTATTGAATGATTATAGGAAGGAAGGGAAAAATATGATTAACACATACACACACACACACACACGCGCGCGCGCGCGGAGAGAGAGAGAGAGAGAGAGAGAGAGAGAGAGAGAGAGAGAGAGAGAGAGAGAGTAGCGCTTATTCATTTAACATAACTATTTCTGGAACAAGTTAGTCATAGAATGATTGCACAATAGATTGTGTGTGTGT